CCCCCCCCCCCCCCCCCCCCCCCCCGTCATTCCCTCACATTAAAGATTAAGAGACGGACAAGTTCGTGCAAGGTTGAAGGTGGAGCGTACCGAGTCAGAGAAGAGGCTGGGAATGAGGTGGAAGGGGAACTCCGGGGTGAAGATTCCGCGAAAGGGATGTTTCGCGGTCGCCCTGCGAACACGGACCCTTAAGACTGTTGCGTCCACCTCGCCTCGCCAAAACTCAAATGGGAAAAAAAAATGAGGTCCCACCGAGACTTGAACTCGGATCGCTGGATTCAGAGTCCAACGTGCTAACCATTACACCATGGGACCTTGCTGAAAAGGTACCTTTCGGGCACCATTCCATGGTGAGGCGGTGGTTCCGCTTCTCCGGCCGGACGCTCGCAGAACCGATTCCGGCGAAAAATTTTTGGCTCGCGAAGACAGTTGCAACGTGACGGGAATTCGTGCTCGGCCGAATGCCTGGCGATTTTGCCGTCGCGAGCGCGTGTGCAAGATTCCGTTCCGCGCCTTCACGGCGGTGCAAAACGGAAACCGACAAAAAAAAACAAAAAAAAACACAGACCGAGTCCAATCCGATCTCGATGGCGTCTGACGCCCTCGGCCCCCTTCGCGGAGAACGAGCCAGGCTCTCGCATCCGACAGGGACGGATGGACCCCGGTCACGCGACGGTATCCGATAACGGGTGGCACGCGCCAAATCCGTTTGAGCTGAACTGGTCCGATCTCACAGTGGTTCCCTATGGGAATTGGTTTCACCTCAATAAACGCATTCCCATAGACGCCCATCACGAAAACGAATCGGTTTAAAGTGAAACGGATCTGGTGCGTGTCACCCAATACGGTCCAAAGACGAAATGGCTCCCGGACATTTTGGTCCCTGCTGCAAAATTGTACGACGACGGTTCGTCAGGAGTTCACGATCATTTTAATTATTGCGTCATCTACTCGTGACTATCTGATTGGAAAGAAAGTTCTCGGAATTTCTTGAATATCCAGTACAATTTTTT